TGTGTGGAAAAGGTTATCCCTGTGAGAGTTCCCAGATATTGTCCATTATAATAATCCCTAGCAGATTGTTATTTTATATAATTAAGAACAATAAGGCAAAACAGCTTTTTAGGACACAGATGGGATGACCAGTAACGGGCCCCCAGAGAGAAGCTCTGTGGAATGACGGAGCGTTGGACTGGATGTCCGGAGGGAGGGCTGGCTTTCTGTGCTCTCTCTGCACCTGACCAGGGACACTCAGGGCATCTCGCTTCACCTTTCCAGGTCTCCACATTCCTGTTTGCTAGAATGGGGTTGTGGGGTGGTGTTGGGGACTGAGTGTGTACCCCTCCCTCAAATCCATATGTTAAAGCCCTGACGCCCAAATGCGGCTGTATTTGGATCAGGGTCTGTGAGGAGGTGATAAAGGTTAAATGAGGCCTGAAAGGTTGAGACACCAACCTTTAAGGAGACACCAGAGCTCTCTCTTTGTGCCACATGAGAGATCAGGGAGAAGGAAACATCTATAAGCCAGGAAGAGGGCTCTCCCCAGACACCCTCAAGATGGGCACCGTCTTGACCTTGGACTTTCCAGCCTCCATAACTGTGAGAAATAAATGTCCACTATTTAAGTCACTATGTAGTAGTGGCAGGTGAAGCAGATGAATGCAGGCAGCAACCACTAGCTAATTAAAATGACAATGATGGACAGGTCACAGAGTACTGTTAGAAATTTTATCTCAGAGAAACTCTAGGAGGTAGAAAGGGCAAAGTATTATTTTACAAATAAGGAAATGCACCTCACACAGTTTCAAGGTCACAAGGCTACCAAGCAGAATTCAGTCAGACTGGAGACCTGGGTCTTTAAAGGCACCTGTGGTTGTAAATGGTTGTGGTTTTCTTGTTTTCTGTGTTATGTTGGATGTCTACAAGTTCCAGGTTTTAGATTTCTAGGCGATGAATGCCCAGTTACATAATGTCAAATTTATCACAAGTCATATATGTATTTTTTCTCTTTAGAATGGCAATGATCATCACCTTTGACCCAGTGGTCCTCAAAGTGAGTTCAGCAGTAGGAGCTGAGGACTTAGAAATGCAAATTCTTGGGCCCCACTGCAGACCTATAGAGCTAGCAACACTGGGGGCAGGCCCCGCACTCTGGGTTCTACTGAGCTGTCCAGGGGATTCTGAGGCCACTACTATTCGAGAATCCCTGCTCTCATCTGTATTCACTTACCTTCATAACTGGCTGGCATTCGACATACTGCACTAAAAGATATGCAGCTGCAACTCTGAGTCCTATAACCAACTAGATCCATAACACACGGTTACACCCAGTTTTAAAATGCTTGAACCTGTAAGTATATCCTTCATGTAATCATGATATTCTGTAATTCGTGTTGGCCTTTGTTACCCCTTTTGTCTACTTGGAAATTGAAAACATTTTAGAAAAAAAAAGGTACTTAGGTCCAGCATATCATAAACCTTGAATTAAGTTGATACTAATTAAAAATAGTAATTTAAAATATAACAAATTTATTATTTATTCAAAGTGGTTAATATTTTTAACTCTTTACTCAAGGTGCTTGGCTGTCCCCCTCTACACTCCCACACCTGAAATCTTAGTAACTTCATAGGAGATTTCTGTGTAATTGAAACCTCTTCCTCAGCAAGATCTATCCCCTCCAATCAGCAGAGAATATTTTAATAAATAATACATATTTATTTATATTATATCCAAAATATATATTTAATTTTTCTTTTAATATTTGTTCTAGAAAACCAAACATAAAATTCATAAATTACATATTATACTTGATATATAGTAACCATATCTGTATATGTAATTATAATAAAAGTATATATATATTTTATGTCAAATGTCTGGATTTTAGAGGCAGTATGACTTTAATCTAATATGTTTCCTTTGATTACCTCCCTAGGATTGGAGTTTAAAAACTCTAGGGATTTCTGGCAGAAAATATGGATGCTGATGCCAATGTGATATATTTCTATTTGAATGACTATATATGTGTGTGATAACTTATTATATGATACCTATTAGTTTAGGACATCAACAATAATCTAAGGATTTTCTGTATTGTTTTATATGCATCCCAAATAAATTTATGCCAATAAAATTTCACAAAGAGAGAAGTACAATATTACCATTTAACAATAAAACTGTTGACTTTTACAAAATTTTCTTATGTAGTAGTAACACAGAAATAACCTTTTATCCCCTTAATGTTCAGGGGAAGCCAGGGAGAACAAAATGCATATACTCTCTGCTGCTTCTGTTATTAATTTGCCTATGTAAGCAAAATTGTGGGCTTTCTGTGGAAGTACAAGACCTGCAAATCACATGACTAATAAAATGGCATATAGCTTGCCAAGCATTTGCAGCGCTGCAGCCTCTGAATGACAGATTTGATGAGATTAGTACACTTCTGCCCTTCACACCTCCAACCATTTTATTTATCGTCTTTAGATTTTCTTTTGGCACCATTTATTGAAAAAACTATTTGCTATTATATGAAGATTGACTAACACACTTCTTTTTTTTTATATTTCTACTTCTTTTTTTAAATTTTTAATCATTGTTCAAGTACAGTTTTCTAACACATTTCTACCATGTTTCTGAAAGGTATAGGAATAATATATTGAACATAAAGATTGTTCCCCAAATAGTGAGTGTATATATAACAAAGAATATATAATATGTAATACAAAATCTATAATATATAATCTATTTATATATAAATAATATGTAATATTTATCTGATGAAGCAACATTAAACATGTATTTTACACACATTTTAACACAGATCTTTTAAATTCAGTAAGAACTGTTTGTAGTATTATGAAGACTAATTAAAGCACTTTCCCACATATTTTACTTGCAGGTATCAACATTGTCATCATTGTTCCGATCTAGAATTTACTCACAATATCAACACTAAATAACCTCTCTGAAAAGAAAGAACTACCCTTATAACCAGCAGCGAATCCCAATGCCAAGTCATATTCATAATTACTCATCTTTTCAAACACGTTTGACATGAATGATTCAGCATATGTGGGTCACTGCCAGTTGGTACCAACTGGCACAATGGCACTGGAGGAAACCTGATAACTACAGAAGCAAACAATGACTGGCAAACAAAGCTCTCCCTTATTGGATCCAGGTATAGAAATGGTTATTTTCTGAAGGAGCAGTAAAGTAGTTTGTCCCTCCCTCCCTTCTTTACCCCCACCCCCCACCCTGGCTCTCTCTCTGTCTCCTTCTCTCTCATTTTTGAAAAGATTCCTTAGCAGTTAATAAAGTGTGTTTAGGCACAGCAACATAACTCTTATGAAACATACCATGAGACCATGACCATGAGATAAAAAGAATCATGACTTCCTTGGGCTTTCCACTCTGAGATCTCAGCGTGTAATTTTATAGTTTTCATAATCCCCAAATTCAGTTAAAACAGAAAGAAGCTTTAGGGGAAAAAAGGAAAGAAAAGAAAAGCAGCTTTGGGGTAGGATGAAACTAAAGAAGAGCAAAAATGAGTAAGTATTTACATTCTACATGATTAAGAAACAAATTAAAGGACTTTTTAAAAATAGAGAATATAGAGACATGTGTATTCTCATAATACACTGAATTGCATTTTACTAGTTCATTCACCAGGTGGATCCAGCCCTTTGATCTAAGTGCCAGTCGAGAGGCAGGATCTGTGGGATGTGGAGATCTAATGCCCTGACTAATAATCCTGGCACAGTTAACACGAGACTACCAGTCCAGTGGAGCACTCGGGCTCCAGCCCCACTTACCTTATTAACTAAACTGACAATTTGGCACTAAGTGGAAATACAGGAGCAAATACTCTCCACCCCTCTGTTTTACTTAGGAGCTGGAGAGTGAAGATAAGACAATAAAAACGTGGAGGTAGTTTGGGGGAACCCGTAAAATCGACATATCCTGCACCTCCCATGGGGATGCTTTGTTTGGCCAGTTCTCTCAGAAGATCACTTTAGTTACCTTGGTTATTCCAGGTCTAACAAGCAAGTCCCTAGGTCAAAAGTTTCTGGCTGCTATTTTCTGATGGTCATTTTCTTCTTTTTTTTTTTCTCAGAAATATACACAATTGCTCCTTTAATGCAATCACCATATACAAAACAAACTGCACAATTAGGAAATTGTCCAAATTCAACTTGCCTTTCTGTAGCTTGCTTTTCTCCTAAACTCTTCATCTGCTCAGATCTGTTTGAAGTATTTATCTGCACCTGAATTCACATCACCCTCAGAGTCAATGCTACTTACATATAAAGTGAATGTGCAGTTAGCTTGTCTCCTGATAATTAACGAAGATGTTAAGGGCTAATGCCAATTTAGTGGCATGAGCTGGATGCCTTCCATTACCTGGTGTGTCATTGTTTATGGTCTATTAAGCAGTTTTCATTTCACCTTATGGGCCCATATAAAACCCAAGCTGGATGTTTCTCAAATTATAGGAAGTATTGCAGAATATTAAAAGCTTCTTTTTTTTTTTAAAATCACCTCTAAATCTACTGAAGCCTAGCTGAGAAACTAAATTGGGATATATATATATATATCTTCTCAGTTTTTAAAAGTCTTTTATACCCCCTCCCTAAATCATATTCATTGTTTTACACCAATGGTAGCAATTCTCATTTTTAAAATAATGTATTTTCTAGTTTTTGTTTAAATCTTTTTCTAACCAAAGTATTATGGTTGTTTTGTTTTGATTCATCTTTCAAGTGGTGCTTTTAATTTTCTAAAAGTTATCTTGTCTGCTTTATTTTTTATCATTCTTAAATACAGAACATACATGCTGACATGCAAAAGTCAGTGGATCAGAGGCATCACAGGGGGAGCCGAGTTGCTTTCAAACTCCACCGTCACGCAGGCCTCCATGGGCCTCCGTGAGGGCAGGGCTGAATGCTCAGAGGGCCCCGGTCGTCCAAAATCTACAGTGCAACAGGAGAAATGTATGGAAACATTCACTTACCTGCTTTTGATCAACAATTATTTCGAGGTCTTCGTCACTGCTTAGTTTTCCATATCCTTTTTCTTTACTTTTCTTGTGAAAGAATAATTTTAAATGATCATTTAGTTTCTTTTCATTAATTACTTAATTCCCACTTAATACTTATAAAAGATAAAATTTACTTAGCCTTGTTCCTCAGTCATAACACCTCATTCTCTATGTTAGTCTTTCATGGACGACAGCAGGTGCTTTTATTCTTAAGTTGTTTGTTTACAATTATTCGTTATTTTCTGCTTAATCTCTGCCATATGCCTTTTATCTTCTCTGAATATTGGTGTGCTTCTTTTTTAAATTCTTAGTACTTTAATATAAGTAATTTCTTCAAGAGTCCCAGTATAGCCCTGGCCAGGTAGCTCAGCGGTTAGAGCATCATTGTACCCACACGCCAAGGTTGTAGGCTCATCCCCCGGTCAGGGCACAGGGCACATAGGAGATCTGACCAATAAATGCATAAATAAGTTTAACAACAATCAATGTTTCTATTGTCTCTCTCTTTCTTGCCCCCTTCTCTGTCTCTAAAAATCAATACAAATAAAAAAAGATACCCAGTACATTTTGCTTAAAGATTGAAATTGCATTCAGTAATACTAAATGGAAGATTTCAACTATTAAATGTTGTATTTTAATTCCTTATATATTTTTAAGAATAAGACCAGTATTATGCAACTCAGATAACAAATCTTTAGGTTTTATACATTTGCTTATAAATCAGATAAAAACTAACATTGTAAAAACAACTCAGAAATAATTTTAAAAAGATAAATCATTTTCAAAATTAGATAGTTTGAAAAGTTAAAAGAGTACAGACCATCTTTAAAAATGAGTTTATTGGCATTTTGTCATTCCCTCCACCCCCCATGACCATTCTCCAGCTACCTACTTCATTGAAAAACTTCTAAATTAGAAAAGGACATAGATCATGACAACCATTTTACTATTGTGCTTACAGGAGAAAGTTCATTTATCTGAATATTTTTTTTCCTTTCTCCTACTGCACTGGCTGATGGGAATGACAGAAATGGCATGTTTCTTCATAATTTCAGAAATCAAAGTACCTCTTTAGAGGACCAGTAACAAAAAGAAAAGAAAAAAAAATCACCAGATGGTTAGCTTCAGTTCAAGCTTATTATTTTTTAAAAAACAATCCTTTCTTTAGGTATTAGCTACATTAGCGAGAATTAAGGGATTTAAAAATGTTTCTTGTGTTTGCACCTACTGTGCCACATTAGACTCCCCATCTCACTGAAACAACAAACTACAACCTTCAGGGACCATGACACGAATCTGTTTACATTGTGGGACATAATTCTTGTCTGTTTTTTCCCCAAAACACTTCAAAACCAGCTTTCTGCATTTCCTCCCCAATAAACATACCTACTATTTTGTGGGGTGTTTTTTTTTGGCAATAAAGAGGTTTCTGAATCTTCAAGTATTGGGATGCATAAACAAAATCTCATTCATATATTAATGAATTTTGCCACTTAGAACAGAACAGATGGCCACAGTATTCTCTCTGTTGTTATTCTTGTCCTCATTTGATGTTCCATTTCAGGATTAATGGAAAACAAAAAGAACAAGCTGGTTTCAGTCAAACTGACTTCCTATCACTTTGCTTTTGTATCCTTTTAGTCCACTGGTTGCCATAGGACATTGTCCACAAAATCTCTAATGCAAAACATTTAGAAATGCCTTTCCAAATATTGATCTGTATACGTACCAAGTAGCTCATTTGCATGACACGATTTCTGGACAAAAGGACATTAAGTAGAGATGGAATGTGGGTCCTTCCATCCATTTCACTGTCAGACATCCCAGAATTCTTTGTACCAGTGGCAGTGGCTTCATTGCCAGAACTTGCTGACTGAAGAACCACAGCTCTTGCCCAGCAATAGTATTTATAATGTATGACAATAACTGAAGTATCCCTGAATCATTATCTTGGCTTTGTAAACATTGTGAAAATTTAGTCTGCACAAAAAGTCATTGAAACAAAAATTTCTTCTTTTCTAATTTTTATCTAAGCACTTCTGTTTCCTGACTGCTGTTCTAGTTCAGTGCTTTTTTTGTTAAACCACCTATTATTCATTATATACATTTGTATATTTTATCCCACACATATGGACTACTCAGCTACTCAGTACTTTGTCATAAAAGCTCTCAATTTTTCCTTTTTAATGATCCACCCCAAACCTCCTTGTGATTAGCAGATCACTACTGACTGATACAAAAATGTCAGCATTCACAGAACATATAAGTCAAGGTTGCAATTTCTGCCAATATAAAATTCCACCTTTCCAATTTAATTCCAACTCCTTATCTGATATAGCAGTAAACTTTTCTGGGGAGAGGCTAGGACAGGGAAGGAGATTACAGCCCCGACTACTGTAAGTAGAAGTTGGTATTTTCCAAAAGTGGGAGGATGAATTTAGATTCTGCACTTAAACCCCTAGTCTCCAAACAGCACACAAGTATACAGTCAGAATCTTTACAGTTTTGCTCTAGAGTTAAGCAATATTTTCTAGTTTACCCCAGAACCCCAGGGGGATTAAGCCTTTTCTAAACCGTAATGGTTATTCGCTCACTTACTGCTCATTTCTAGTGCGAGCATAATCCTCTTTCGAGCACTCAGCTCCCACTTTGACTGCTTAGATCAGCCAGCTCAAGCAGGGATCTTCAGCTCTCCTCCCTCCTCCCAGCTGGGGATCCCTGTCTTCTATCTATGCACTTTTGTCAAGCACAGAAAGCAAATCCAGAGCTTCTGCGTGGTCTTTCACATTAGCCAAAGGACTGAACTAGAAGGAGAAAGAAAGCTCAACTCTCCACTGTCCAGGCGTGAGGAGGCAGGGCTTCTGTGGGAGGAGAAGCCAGAGGGTAATCGCTTCCTGTGCTCCTCCCACCTCTCCTGGGGGACGCTGGAGCTGAGGATTTCAACTGAGGCAGGAAGGGCAGGCCCCTTTCCACCTCAGCCTCAGAATGCTGTCTGCTTGGAGCCGATCTGGGGCACTGCTTACCTAAGTGCAGTTGCTGAGGGAGCATCAGTGCAGTGGAGCTAAAATGGAGAAGACTTTGAGGTGGGGAAAGTGAGGAAAGAGACAAAGGAAATAGTCATCATTTGCCAACAAGGACTCATTCCCTGTGAGCAGATTTCAGCTGATGATAGGTGTCCCATCTCTAAAACCCTAAACATACTACTTCCCACCTTCCCCACGCCATTCCCAATCCTTTCTGAGTAACTGGAAAGAGGAGTGTCCAGTTCTTTCTTAGTGCTAATAACTTTTTTAATACCACTGAATTAGATCTGTTTCCTTAAGAGCATTGAGCCTAACTGCTAATCTTTCCTCTCTGCAGGCATTCCACCACCTCTCCTTAACCCTATTTACCTCACGCTTCCCACCCCTCACTCTCTCCTCCTCAAAAGTAGCACACAAGTCCTGGGTGGCGTAGCTCGGTGGATTGAGTGCAGGCTGCGAACCAAAGTGTCGCAGGTTTGATTCCCAGTCAGGGTACCTGGGTTGTAGGCCATAACCTCCAGCAATCGCACATTGATGTTTCTCTCTCTCTCTCTCTCTCTCTCTCTCTCTCTCTCTCTCCCTCCCTTCCCTCTCTAAAAATAAATAAATAAAATCTTAAAAAAAAGTAGCACACAAAGGTATGTTTATTCACTGGAATCAAATAAACCATAAAACTTGGAAATCATACAGGGAAAATGTATGGTTGCAGATACAGAATGTATTATAGAAGAAAATTTTTCAAGTAACAGCAAAAAAAACAACACAGTCTGATGGGATAGAGACCTGAAAAATGAAGAACTCTAATGTTCAATTTTAGAATAAGATTTTACTAGAAAATAACAAGATTAATTAAAAGGTACTACTAGTGTTTGGGTTGAATTAAAGGGATTCTTCACACTCATTAGCTATGGAATATATGAAGGATAGTTTGAAAGGAAAAAAGGAACATGTGATTAGTTAACTGTACAAATTAGCCTCAGATGCAATTTTTGCTGAACTACAGATGTCAAAATAAATGTAAAGGTTAAAGGTAATATGTTAATGTTTAGAATTTTTTTAGTATCATTTATTTAATACTGCAATGAATGATAAGTAATAGACCTAAATTTATTAAAGCCAATGTTGCATGGAGACTATACAGACAAAAGTATAGGGACCTTCATATTCTCTTCTTCGTGGTGGTCAGAATGTACTCATTTCCTATCTTCTAATTATGCTTATCTTCAATCCCTTCTGAAGGCTGCAAAATTGTTTAGTTTCCCCTGTCCTAAAAGATGACTTCCTCATATCTGCTTTCTCCTGAAGCAGCAATTATCAATATTTTTCATCTCATAGCACACATAAACGAATTACTAAAATTCTGAGGCACACCAAAAATGTATATTTTGCCAATCTGACAAAAAAATAGGTATAATTTTGATTTATTCACATTGGATGACTATTGTGTTAGCTATTGTCATTTTTTAAATTTGACAATCTAACAGAAAAGAGGTGAGTGCCCCTGAATAAATAGTCAGGTATTGCACATTTAAAAAATTCTTGCAGGGGGAGGGGGATAAGGAGGGAAAGAAGGGGAAGGGTCTAGTCAAGGAACAAGTATAAATGACCCATGGACCTGGACAACAGGGTGGGGATTGACTGGTGGGGGTTCGGTGGGCAGGGAAGAACAGTGGGGGAAAATTGGGAAAACTGTAATAGAACAACAATAAGAAAAAGAAAAAATACCAGTGGAAAAAATTTAAAATACAAATTCTATGGCACACCAGTATGCTTCTTGAGGCACACCTGTTGAAAATTGCTGCCCCAAAGGCATTCATTTAATCTTTCTTAACTCTTCAATGTCAAGCTTGAAAGAGTGATCCATTCTTACTAGCAATAGTTCCTCCCTTTCTCTTCACTTCTAAACCAATCACAATCAGGTTGCAATTGACTGTAATTGCATTCTTGACAATCACCAGTGGACTCCTAATTATCAGATTCTCTAGCAGTTTCTTTTTAGAGCTAATTGTATGTTAGCCCCAA